AAAGACTTTAAATGAGTACAAAGAGGTCACATAAATGGCAAATGAGTTTTAATTATAATAAGTGTAAGATAATGCATATGGGTTATCATAATTTGAAGTATAAGTATAATTTGGATCTAAGAAGTGTGCTGTTGCTAGTGGTAGGGCAAATAGAATTTTAGGTTGTATCTAAAGAAATGCTGAATATAAGTCTAAAGAGGTTATAATTTCATTGTATAGGTCACTGGTTAGGCCACATTTGTAATATTATGTTCAGTCTGAGGCTTTCTACCTTGGAAGGTCATTGAATTATTGAAAAGGGTTCAGAGGAGGGTTACTAGAATAATACCTGGGATAGAGGGGTTGTCACACAAGGAGAGGTTAGGATCTCTCAACTTGTTTTCTCATGAAAAAAAGAAGTCTTAGGGAGAATTTGATTGAGGTGTTTAAGATTGCAAAGGGAATTGATAATGTTGATGCATAATCTTTTTTTATATTTAACAATGAGAACAGTAGAACTAGGAAACATAAATATAAGTTTGGGCAAGGTAGGAGTCATCTTTTTTTATATTTAACAATGAGAACAGTAGAACTAGGAAACATAAATATAAGTTTGGGCAAGGTAGGAGTCATCTTTTTTTATATTTAACAATGAGAACAGTAGAACTAGGAAACATAAATATAAGTTTGGGCAAGGTAGGAATCATCTTTTTTATATTTAACAATGAGAACAGTAGAACTAGGAAACATAAATATAAGTTTGGGCAAGGTAGGAATCATCTTCACATAAGACAACTTCATTTTTCTAACAGTAAATTTAAGTGAGTTTATGAGAAAGCTTGATAACAATATGAATGATAAGAGCAGGCTTTAAAATTTATTTTTTTAAATTTATTTATTTAATAGTTTTAGTTTAGTTTAGACAATGAGAAAGTCGAGTTGGACCAATAGCTCCCTTGTTGTCCCAAAACATTATGTTATGATACGTTAAACAGCATTTTCGAAAGATTCTCCTTCCAAAAGTACTCTTGTATCATATTTTTGGGTTAAATAGAATGCTAAGTTTAATGTCAAACAAATGTACTATTGATTACAGATTGACAATGATAATGTTGTACTTTACAAGTCATCCAAGTTATCTAAGTGATAAAATTAGTATTCCAATTGCTTGAACTTCTGTGGTTGTTAAAGTTTAGTAAATTGTTTTTTGTTCAACCATGGTTTTCTTGGAATTTTGTTTTAATATGTTACAAAACTGATTCACTAACTACTACTATGATTACTGATAACAAACTCAAGGACTGAATCACTGATAAACAGACACAATCTAGTTTTTTATTTTGTTACACTATTTCATGAATGTTTCAGATATTTTGCAAGGCTTAGACTTTCATGAAACTTGTAAGACTTGTACAATCATTACATCATGTAAAACTCCCTCCAGTGAACAACAAAATATGTGAATATTAAACCATTTAAACAACAATATTTGTTGGAATAACTGAAACTTGGTTAGATGTAAACAATTTTGATGACAAATATTTCTTTGAAATACAGTTAGAGGTTATTTAATAAGGATAGAGAGACAGATAAGACCACCAGATGAAATTCTACGGTGAGATTAACTTTAATGAAATCATAATTATAGGTGATTTTAGTTTCAGATATATAAATTAAGAATTGTTACATTTAACTCATGAGGGAGACAATGATGGTCTGTTAGTTGAGGTTCCATTACTCCAAATGCCTGATAGTCCAAAGATGCGAGTTTTTTTTTAACAATTAAGATGTTAAATTGATCGTTTGATTAAATTTGTGAAATTTTATGAACTAAATGGTTGCAATTTTTCATAAATGGATGAACAATGTTTATCATTATTTATGATGTTATTTTCTTGTATATATGTATAGTGTTAGCTGCAGAGGCCACATACTTATACATCAGGATTGGATTTTGGAATCTAGCTCTTCTGAGAAAATGTACATTCAAGATTTTTATTCCATAGAGCTGTGACAATGAATGTTATATCCCAAACTCATTAAATATGTTAAAAGCTTTCAGTCAGTAAAATTATCTTGACACCTAGCCAATGCAATGAGCTGTACACAATAATGTTGATTTAAATATTTTTGCTGTTTCTATTGAAAGCCAGCAAGGATGGCTGTTCTCTCAAAACCCTGCCCAGATGTACCCTTTAAATTTATCATTTGAGGTTGCACTCATCTATTATGGACCTACAAGTTTGTTTATTCATTCAATTTTGACTTATATTATGAAAATCAAAAATTTGTGACAACAGAGCCTTGAGAATACCGGACAGTCACCAAGAGAGACAGGTTTCTAGAAACTGTTTAGGATGGTTTTCTTCAATAATTGGTTAGGAAACCTACTGGGAGCAATGCTATTTTAAATTTATTAACTTCTAATAAAGAAATGGTTAAAAGGATACACATAGGGAAATATTTGGGTGAGAGTGATCATTGTTTTATTAGCTGAATGTTTTACTACCTATGGATATCAGGAATAATGTCATTTTCGTTACAAATTTCAAAGGGATGCAACAAGAATTACCTGCTGCAAAACTGTGCAACTGCATTAATTGAAAATATTGATCAAATGTGGAAATAATTTTTAAATATTCAAGATCAATATAGGAAGAAAAAGGTGACTGCAAGTAAAATTCTAAATTGGTTCACAAAAGACATAAAAGACAGAAGTAAAGAAAAGTATTATAAGTTTATAAAGCATAAAACTGACTGCTCTGTTGGGAGACTTGAAGGCTTATAGATCAAGAAAGTTGGTCAAACAGAATATTATGCAAACAAAAAAGTTGAAAACAGGTTGGCCAAAATATAAAGATTAATATTAATAATATATTTATATTCATTATGGCGAAGAAAAATGTTAGGATGGAAGTAGGGTCTTTGAAGGATTATACAAGAAGGCTAATATCTGATTATTATGGGATGGTTGGGTTACTAAATCTAATCTTTTTTTCTATTTTATTCAGATTTACTTAGTAGCTAACTTTATATATTGTAATGATAATAAACATAACTGGTAGTTACCTGATACGGTTCATGATGATTTACTGTACCTATTGACTATTTGATTACATTAGTTTGAGAGGCAAAATGTTAAGATACAGCTGGAGATTTGTTTAAGAATACAATAAACATTTATATTTTCTGTGTAACTACATTATATATATATATATTAAGGAAACATCAGATGTTTGTAAGGAAGCTTACTTAATTATGATGTTTTTTATACATATAAGAAACAAATCGACTTTTCAGTACCTCCCATGTCACTTGTAATACCTTATTTAGTATTCTACAAAAGGTTGGGGTGCAATATACCAAGCCATTTTTTTGTAGGCTGGAAAGAGAATAATAATAATTACAAACGGGCCATTTTGTGCAGATGTTTGCTCCTTGTAAGTCTAACATACATGCTTTTTCTGCATTTTTATATGTATACAGCCTTAGCAGTCAATAATAAAAGTTTCAAAAGTATTGGTCAAACTGAATCTGTTTAAGATGCTTTTTACCCAAATGTTCTATTAGGGTTTTGTGCAATTCTTTGCTATCCCTATTATGAACCTATATTTGGTTCATGATTAAGGTCTTGAGTGTTGCTGGCTGTGAGGAAGACGATGCTACTTTACAAGAGGATTTCATGAGTTGGGCAAATAAATGACAATGATTTTGATTATACTAAATGCAAGGTAAAGCACATGGGATATTATAATTTAAATTATAAGTATAATGTTGATGGTAATAGCTTTAAATGTATAATGGAAGAAAAGTATCTAGGTGCTCTGGCTGTTCAATTTCTAAAGGCATCCAAACATGTTATTGCTAGTGGTAGAGCCAAAATTTTTCTCACTTTGAAAAACAGAAAGTTACAGGGGTTATGACTGAGGTGTTTAAGATTGTTATATGAACTGATAATGTCAATGAATCATCTTTCTTCATACTTAACGGTGAGAATAGTACAACAAATATAAATTCTTGGATGGTAGGAGCCATCTTCACCAGGATAGGTTTATTTTGCTAACAGTGTAATTGGCTTTTAGTATGGGTTGCCTTCAGACGTAGTACATGCAATGATGCAGTAAATTTAAGATAATTTAACTTAATTATGGGAAAGCTTGATAAATATTTAAATGATAAGGTCTTGCATTGATATTTTTTATAGTTTAGACAAAGTGATAGCCTTGATAGACAACAAGGTCTCATGTTATCCTTAAATAAAACTAAAAATTAAATGTTTGTTCACTGATATTAGTGATAGGCCTAAGTTCCCAGCTGATGAGATATACTAACTGCTAGCACAAAAAATTTACTTAGTTGCAATTGCTAATTCTCTCACTCTACAAAATGTACTCTACCTTAAACTTCAATTTGTGTCTCTAGTACTTCATAATTCATTGCAAATTCAAACTCAAAACTGATAAAACTGAAATAAATAACTATCTCTCACTCTCAGTAATTTACACTTTACAGACCTATTCACTATGTAACAGACTTACTCTTTGAATAATTCGCTGACTTCACTTACTAAGGCTCCTTAGTAAGTTCACTTACTGTCTCAATAAATTACTATATTCTAACTAATGTACTCTAGCCAAACAATTGTAAAAACAACCAAGTTAAAACACTCAGTCTAAAAAAATAATGTACACACTACAACTTGTTGAAACTGAAAATTGGGACGCGAAGAGTGTCGAGCTGTTATTGTTAACAATAAAATGTACTTATGTAAATTGCTTATTTAGATTATTAATACTAGAATTATTATTATATATATATTATTACCTGGGATAAGAGTAAGATAAAGACCAGTACTACTAAGTCTAACTTCTAAGAGTAAGACGGAAAACTAATATTATTTAACCTTGTTAATTTTATTTGTTTACGCAATTACTGTATCAGTATCAGCATAAAAGTTGAAACCATGTTTGTGTACCTCCTTATCTAATAAATAACCATATCACAGTCTAAGGCATAATTACCTGACGTTTATAACACTTCCATCAGGCATTCTAACACGATACTGATACTAAGATATATATATGTATACGTTTCACCCTTTTGAATCATACTTGTATGGTTTTGGTTTTGGATTATTTTGTTCATATAAAAAAGCGCCCTTGTCTATTGATGCGTGACTCTCAGGGTCGGCTTGTTAGTAATAAGGATTGTAAAATCTTATCTGACCCATATTGTGTCTTATTGAATCTCCAAAAAATTACTTAGAACTATACTAGAAGCTTTTCCTGTCACCACACTTAGAAAACATTTCACAAAAGCTAGCTCTCATTTTCCCATCAGTGTTATCTTCCAAATAATTAAGATTATTGCCATCAATCCAATTTTCTTAACCCTCGATTAACTTAAATTTCGGTATTTATGTTGCTGTTTTTCAATAAGTACATATGACTGAAATGCAACTTACAAGTGTTTGAGCTAATTTTTGTTAAAGTAATCATTTTGTAAATATTAACAGTTATATAAGCACAAATTAAGTAACGAAGAATAAACATAAATTTATAAAATATGAAGATGATTACCCCGACTAGTTTCGACGTACCAATTATATCATTTTCAAGGGTACGTCAAAACTAATCGGGGTAATCATCTTCATATTTTGTTAAACTTGTGTTTGTTCTTCGTTACTTAATTTGTACTTATAAATCTGTTAATCTTTACAACATTTGTAGATAGCACAAAGTACTACTTATCTTGATTAAAGTGATCATGTTTTAAGTGCACATTTTGTGACGTTTAAAATTGTATCGTGTTGATTACGAACTCCTGACTGCTAAATATTTTCATAAATAACAAGAGTGAAAATTTATATTTTGTTATATCATCATGGTTTGAAAAAGGATTACTGGTTTAAATTTCGCGCAAAGCTACAAAAAGGCTATCTGCGCTAGCCGTCCCTAATTTAGCAGTGAAAGACTAGAGGGAAGGTAGCTAGTCATCCCCACCCACTGACAACCCTTTTACCAACTAAAAGTGGGATTGATCGTAACATTATAATCTTAACTACAAGTACTGCATATACACATTGTAATGTATTGAATTAAAAGAAGCAAGTTTGAATACATAAGTTGTAGCTAAACATGCAATGAAAAAGTGATCAGATCATGGCCTGACTGCCGTTACCGCTTCCTACGGCTCTGTGATTTGTTTATTCGTTGTTAAGTATAAAGCACCACAATGAGTTATCTGTGATATGCTTACCATAGGAATCAAAAACCGGTTTCTAGCTTTATAAGTCTTGAGATTTAGTCACTAGGGAGGGGTGGAATGTGTCCTTGAAAAATAATGTGTAACTTCTTTAGTAAAAATTTCCAATACAAATGCTTGTTCTCTTTGTAAACAACTGTTGTCATTTTGTCTATAAAACAAATGGGGCATGGAGTGGTCCAATAATTTGCATACCCAGAATATAATTCTGAGGGTTCGTGGTTTGCATCCCGCTGCGGCAAAATTGTGTTCTAGAATTTGGAGCCATGGCTGTACTATATATATTATAGTGTAAGATTGACGATAAACTCCCAGTATTATATCGCAATCTGAGGGTCGCCTCTCACCAAGCATACTCTCCATTTCAGTCGTGGGGGCATTATAATGTTACAGTCAGTCCCACTATTCGTTGGCGGTGGGTGGTGATGATTAGCTGCCATCTCTATATCTTTCATTGCTAACTTAGGGACAGCTAACATAGATAACCGTCATGTAGCTTTGCGCGAAATTCAAAACCAACCCAGTGTTAGTTAAAAACAAGAACAGACCAAGAGCTGACTTGGTTCTGTTGATTAACTGCCTTCCCTCTAGACCAGGGGTCACCAAACTTTTTTCACAGCGGGCCAGAATTACTGAGGGAATGACGAGCGCGGGCCGCATAACCATTTTGTTCAATACAATACAATGAATACACAAAAACTAAAGACAACAAACATGTTTATTTACCAAAAAGTTATCAAA